GTTAATTTTATCCTAAAAATTCTTTAACTGTTTTCTTAATTCAGCATCATTCATATTTTTCTTGTTGGATTGTCTTTCATTCTATCTTGTTTATGTATATCCCTTTCAAATCTGAGCCAATCTATTTTAGTGTAGCTGTATTGTTTTCTTTAGGTATCTTTATTTTCTGAATTGGCATTCGCTGGTACCTTCTCTTTCACCTGTTTTACACGTATTTCAGTAATTTAATTAGGTAAAAGTAGTAAAACTACACTTATACTTATAGATCTTATCTATGTAATAAGTCCTTTAAATGCATTTTATTTTTGTCATCGACCTTTGTTTCATATGTACTCAAACAACAGTCATTCTCTGATATTTAACTAGATCACTTGTTAAATGTTTTTGGCTTGCCTGCCTTGTACTGAGATGTTACTATAACATTAATACTCCAAGTACCTCTAAAAGGAAAAATAAGATTGCTTTCTTCTGGTCAAAAAAAAGGTGCATTGGTAGAACAGGGTGTATAAAGTGTATTCTGTTTTATGTTTGATAGTGGACTGTATCTAGAAACATCTTTTTTCAGAAGTTCTGTGCTAAGTTAATGAGAAGTTGGGTAAGCTCATTTTCTTAAGAGATAAACAGCTTGAAAGTTTAAAATTAAAGTGTACATAGACTTTTCTTTATGGGAGTGGGAATATTTTCTAGACTTGATTAAAGCACTATTGCTTAGTTTTTTAATTAGAATCTTCTTTCCCAATACTTAAAATATCAATCATTTTTAATTAAGTTGCTGTGAATAATTCCTCCTACTCATTTCTCTTAAGCTTTTTTATTCTCTTCCCAATTGAGTTCTTTATACTTGCTCTCTTTTGACAGAGTTTTTATTTTTTTTCTTTTGGAAGATGAGGACTCCCTATATAGCTTTTGTGATAGCCCAATCATGAAAAACAGCCAGATAAATGTTCACATGTAATAAATTTCTTTTATTGGCTGGGATGGGGTGGATTAGTTAAAAAAACAAAACAGAACCTAAAAAGCAGTGAATGTTGGCAAGTGTTCAGTTATTTCTTTCGTCTCATTCACCTTGGCTCAGTTCAGTAACTGCTTATGAGTAAGTTTTTCACAGTCTTAGAAATAAGGAGTTGAGAATAATGTGTGGGTAACTGATTAGTATCCACTGCACAGAGGTGTTGGATAGATTAATTGATTCTTAGAGAGCCTAGGAAGTGTCAAAACTGTATAAATGCAAAAACTATTATGATAAAGTAAAAGCTGCTTTGAAAAAAAAGTTATTCAACTGGTAGGAGAAACTTCTTTTAAGGGAGAGACTGATTTGAATTTCTGTATGGTCCTTCATTTTGA